AAAATTGAGATAATTATATTGCACTGATCATGAATGGTGGAAGGAAAGTAAATAAAGTGCAAGCTATTGTGCAATAAGGATAAATAAATGTCACATGATTCACTGCTTCTAAAAGATGTTTTATACTGTATATTTTAAAAGACATTATTATATATATTTGCATTTTTTCTGGAAGAAAGAAAAAACTATTAGATTGCCCAATATTTAACTGTACACTTACATGTGGTCTAAAATGTAGCATATATGAAACAAAAGTTATTAATTTGATATTTTTATTACTGGACATTACATTTTTTCAATCTTTTCTGTGAGAACACCGTGATTTAAAAAAAATCAGATCACATGCAAGTCAATAGCTATTTTCAAGTCATGGATGATGACTATAATTTCTTTCTATTTTTGTGTTTGTGATGCAGGGGGATCTAAAGAAACATTTGCACAAGCAGTAAACAAAGCAATATTACAGAAAAAGCTCAATAATACAGAGTCAAACTGTGCAGCTTAAATAACTTTTCTCATAAAAAATAGTCTAGATCGCAGCATAAAAGGATGAATTCAGTGTTTTGTTTTGCTCAGATAAAAGGTCATTGATTTTAGAAAAAAAATCAGAAATGTCAAAATGCTTTGAAAGATCAGGAAAGAACAGCTGAGTTAGTTTACACTGGCTTAGTAGTTAGACCAGTCTCAATGAACAGGATTCTTTTATGTTTTTTTAAGCATGTGGTGGGATACATAGCAGTTTCAATCTACTAGAACTGCTATGTTAAGCTGCTTTGACACAATCTACATTGTAAAAGTGCTACATAAAGAAACATGAATTAAATAGTATTTAGTTGGAAGATATGCAATTCATGCTTTAAATTGGAGGACTTTAGAGTTTGCACTATGGACAAAAACGCCAAATTGACCCTTCACTAAGCCACACCCGAAAACCGCCACATACCAATCGTGGCTTAGCAACCGTAGCTATGCGTGGGAGGTCTGTCAAACTTTCCAGTGAGGGAAACAAGCCAAAGCATTGTGCATATGGATTGTGAAAATCTGATACCCGGAATCTTAAAAGTTTGGACAGGGTGGTGGAGTTTTATTCCCTTTCCAAAACCTAAAACCCAAGGGGAGAAATGCCAGCGTAGATCAAGCTGTGTGAGGGGCTGTAAAGCAGCACAATCTATTCATATTTCTATCTGTTTCAAGCTACAAATATTCGGATTACATGTCAACAAAACAAAACCGAGATATGATCACAAACTGAGCACTTACAATCAATGTACTTCACCTGCAGCTGTTTTTCAGTAATTTATATCCCTCATGTCCAAATTAGAGCTACAATTCATAGATGTTTTTGTCTTTTTTTTTGGCGACTTAGTCATTGGTGATGACGTTACAGTGGGTTAGTGTCTGCTTTTATATTTGGGGTCTGTTCACTTCTGCTATTTATACTTTGATTTGTATTTCAATGCATTTATTTTCCCACTTAATTGCAAATTAGAATATAAACTGTATAAAAACCACACAAAAGTACTGACAGTTAAAGGTACTGTACATTGTTATGGGTTAAGAACGCACAAATCCATCAATTTCCCCTTTCTGGCTGTTTTTCTTATGAATGAATTATGAAGAAGCACTGTCCATGCATGTTACCTCGTCGGTTAGTAACGCTATATTTCATTGTACAACAATTACTAAATCAGGCTTTATGGTTAAAAAAGAGAGCTTACACAGCTTAATTTGTTATAATTCGATTATTTTAAAATTTCACCAATCTTGCGGTGCATGAACTAAGCTGTTGAATGGTCAGTGTATGAGGCAGCTAGGCATTAGCTTCAGTTTTGATTAAATTATTTTCGAATTGGTTGCCTATTATTTTGTGAATATATCCCTGTAATGCATACTGCAGTCCTTTTATGTCTGGCTTTCCCAGATATCTCACATGTTCGCCAAAAATCACTAATTATATCTCTGGAACATTCATACTGTAATAGACGTGCCAGGCACGAAAGCTTGACAGGCGTGACAACGGTAACTAAGGAGAGCGGGGCTTAGAAAAGGGTCAATTCCTCTTCAAATGTGGAATGGTCTGATTTCAATGTTTAAAATCCTAAAAGTGAAGTTAGACATCATAATTTGCTGCAGCATTAGCTGACCTTGAATGTACAAATAGAGGAAATGATTATTGTTCCAAAATAAAGAACGTTCTAATTAACAGTTAATAAAAAAAACAAAAAAAACAATAGAGGACAATATTCGATGTAAGTTTGATTAGTAGTTCAAAAATGCTGCCTGCTATATGGCCTACGGCCTGTGGAGAACACAAAGGAAAAGGCATTACCTTGCCCTGTAGGCAGTTTACAGAAGACGCTGTTCAAACAGACTTGAAGGAAGGCAAACAGCAGGCCAGCGATGCTCAGAGAAACCCATGAGCTCTGAAGTAAAGCCTGACACACTCCTAAACTCAAGACTAAGGCCAAGAGGCTACAGAGAACCAAACAAAACAAATCCTGGAAGGAAAAAAAGAGTAGAGTTTGAAGTGAGATGCCTTGGACTCGGCAATTTGTTTGATTCTGCTTTTCTCAGAACAAACTCTCCGAGCGGCGCAAGAAGACAGGGTGGCAAACAAGAATGAGAGCGCTTTCAATAGTCAACAGAAAACAAGCTCAGCAGGGACCCCAAATTTGCCTTCGAGAGGGCTGAACGGCCAATTAGGAGGAGCTTAAGTAAAGTTGATTCGAAAGTTGGGAGGTATAGAATCAGAGAGCGAGGAAGAAAGACAAACAGACACACTATAAAGAGAGAGAAAGAGAAAGAAAGAAAGCAAGCACGCCGATGCATCCTAATGAGCCAGAACAGATTTCCTGCATTTTGAGGGTATCATGCACTGCCAAATCCTATTAGGGCATCTCCTCATTCAAAAAGTTGAAAGTGATGTGATTACATTGATCCCCTCCTGCTGTGTAACACAACAATCTGCTCTCCCAGCATTCCGAGAGCTCAAGACAAATGCGCTCCGTCAGAGGGCCAGACAACACAAGTGATTGGTGGCTGCTATCTCGCTGTCTGTAGCCGTGATCGCTGTGTAAAAATGCACCAGTGGGCCAAAGGGGCTCCGTCCGGGGCTGTCGAGCTCACGATGTAAGGCCATCCGGTTTCATTTTCGCAACATTATTACATCATTCTCCGCCTTGCTCGCTACTGTACGGCTGGGCAGTGTTTACCGTAATGGGCTGAGACAGCACAGCTCTCAAACGCGATGGCTGATGGCGCTTGTTTGGCCATCGAGTGGGGAATGGGGCAGCTATGGCTGTCCTCTCTAATGAGGCCGAAGAGACAGCTGGCAGGCCGGAATTAGCTGGTGTCCGTGCGAGGGGAAAAAGCTAATTCTAATGGAGCAGAAGCCTCCGATGGGACAGATTGGAGTCTCTTGCCTTTGTTATCGTATGCCATTGTTCCTGTCACAGCAATCTGCGTAGTTCCTCTATATTAGACAGGTAGAGAGATCGGAGCGCTGGAGGTGATTAAAACAGCCCGCTGGCTCTGCTGCTGGCTTAACGAAGTCTTGATTAGGTTTAACAAGGTGTGGTGATGGCAATGTCATTGTTACGGACAAGGGGAGAAGCCGCCATAGGGTGTGTTCATGAACGCCAGACAGTAAAATGCAATTAAGACCAGCTCCAAAAGAGGCAGGTTGATATAATTCAAGATGCTATGCAAAAAAGAAGCAAATCTGTTGTGTGAATGTATGTGTGTGTGAAGGTCAGAGGAGTGTAAGGTGAAATGCTTTAGCTAACATGAAGCAGCATTAAGATTTCATTGGTTTGTCTTGGTTGTAGAAAATAGACAAACCTTTTTACAAGAAAATGAAATCATCTTCCTCTTACCGGGCTATTGAAAGAAGGCGATGAAAAGTGGATGTCTAGCCCACCACAAATCAAACATCATTTTTCACCTTGCCTTAGACTATCTCTTTGCATAAACAAATGAAACTTACACTAAGAACACACCTTTTTTTCTCATATTGTGGTTTCAAGAGAGCACAGAAGTCCTTATGAAATGTAACAATGCATAATTTAGATATTGTGTACATCTGTTCATGTATTTAGGCAGTTTAACCAATGATGGTGGATATTTTGTCAAACAAGAGCAGTATAAAGTTCGCATACTTTATGAATTTGTAGGTAGGATTGGATGGATACACTACCCAAATGCCACTGAGTGGTACAGTACATTACGGTACGCTTTTACGGCCATTTCCACTGTTAAAAGGTACCAACAAGTGAACTGTCCCATTCCACTTTTTGGCTAGCACATCAAAATGATACCAAAAACTGAGCCAGAACTCCAGCTGAATGCTATTGGTTTACAGAGATATGTCACTAGCTCATGCACAACCCAGGAGAATGAAAACAAAGAAACCACCATCTTTAAATACACAGCCGAGACATCACACATTGTAATATATACATAAAATAATTAGCCATGGTCTTCTTTGTGATGAAGAATGTACACATAAGAACATAGGAACTGTATTGTTAGATACTCAATATAACATGACTCTGACCAGTTCATTGGTACAACTAACTTGATCTGGACATCTCTATTAACAATAAATGCTTCCCTGCTCCTGGAAAGCACCAGTATAGCCCACTCATCATATACAGTAGCTTAAAACAAGCCTCATTATCTTCTATTTAACCTTATTTGTTTGAGGCCACTCAGAGTTTCCTTTCATTTTAAATTAATCACTTTTGGTCCTGACCCAAATTGCTTGTTTTTTAGCAATCTGTACGCTCAATTAACCAAATTAGAGCTAATTAAAGTGCTAGTCATACTGTTGCTTCTGAAAGCACATCAACATTTCCCGTCTTTCCTGTGTGACACATCTTACATTATGCCTGAAGGCAACAATAATTTCTATGATCAAACAGTAATAGTAAAAAGAAAACGGAAGAAAAGTCTTGCATGTTTGGGCTTGTTGAGAATGAGTTGACAAGGAATAAACTCACCATAGCCAATGGCACAATGCCACCAAGGTCATGTGGTGCTAGTCGAATTAGAGTCTGGATCTCATCTGAAAGGGTCCGGGAGATGGGATACTCAATCTGCCATGTCACTAAACGACTTCCTAGAGGATCCAGCAACCCGTTGACCTCCAAATCCACCTGAAGAACCTTCTGAAAACCAGCTTCAACCCTTTAGGAAAAAAAAACAAGATTATTATGAAAATATTGAATGCAATCTCAAGACTCGTTGCATCCTGTGTTTATTTGTTGTTACAAACAGAGGAAGCGTCAGTCTAGAAATGGAAGTGGCCATTTATTGAAACATTTGTTTTTTCATACACCTGGATTTGTCATGTGCAAACCTAAAACCATTGATTTTCATAGTATGTGTTTTTCTACAATTGGTGTCAATGGTTACAGGCTTCCAACATTCTTCAAAATATCTTCTTTTGTGTTCAATAGAAAAAAATCGTTAACACTTTCTATAAGGCTTATAATTTATAACTGTATAACTGTAAATAAAAGCTTTTAATGTATAACTGTTTATAATTATTTATAATAAATCATAACAATTTTATAAATGTATCTATAAAGACAATAAAACATATTATTATGACAGTTATAGCTACATTTATAGTAGTGTTATAAATTCTTACTAAAGAGGAATAGCATTTGTCAATGCATGCTAATTACACATTATGCATGACTATACTGTAAGTATGAATTAATTATGAATATAGCTATAATTGTCATTATAATACAGTACAAGGTTTATTGTTTCTTTTTATATACATTTATAGAATTGCTATGATTGATTATAAATAATTATGAACAGAGTTATAATTCATTATGAGCTTCATATAAAGTGTTTGGAACAAGTCAAGATTTTTGGGTGAACTATCCATTTAAAGCACTTAAATGTGTCCTTACCACTAAAGAACTACACATACTGTGTTGAATGAAAAACATAAGAGAAATATAAAAATATTTGAATGCAAGCTCAAAGCATATGCATATAAGTCGTCCAATGTTTATTTGTTGTTATGTGGCTCCTGGCCAGCACGTGCTGCCAGTAGTTAAAGGGCCAGTCAAGCAGCCATTTATTGACCCTTTTGTTTTTGTACACCTGGTGTGTGTAGGATGCAGGCTGCGATGTATGTGGGTGTGAGTGTGTGTTGGTTTACTCTCATTATTTCAGTTCAACAAAAACACATCCCAGCAGCAACTGAAAAAAAAGACAGCAAAAAAAAGCAATTTACTTTTGGTCCTGCGCCACGGCATTTTCAGAAAAGATTTCCAAAGCAGAGCATAACATTGTCTCCTCTGATTGCGATGCAAACAAAGCTGAAAAACAATGAATAAAAGCAAAGCCATTTGATTTGCCCAGGCCTGGGTTTGATCAGACTAGTTGCTCCGGCCTCACAGTACTTAGTTAAAACAAAACAGCATATGAAAAATTCCTAATATCCAAAAGCAAATGTGAAATATGGAACTGCAATTGAATTCGCACCTGGTAGCATGACAGGGAAAGCAAATCCAAAACTACATTCTGCTTTCGCAGATTTTTTTTCTTATTCAAGGTCTCTCTTAAAATAACTGACACATCCATGGAAAAAATAAACTAAGGTCACTGCATTATTCTGAATTCTGTCATGCTGTCATAACTTCGACAAAACATAATTATAATTTGCTCTTTGGTTCACAAAATTTTGATGGAACAAAAAAAAAAGGCTTTTTTCTTTAAAAGGTTGCAGCTTGTTTTCCCAGTGGAATTGCTACTTTAAAACTGTTCCCATGAGAGATCTTTTTGTCCTGCAGTTTGAAGGTTTGACATATCACACCAATTTGAATCCAAAGAATTTCTGACCAACCAACAGAGCAGTCAAATTTCTGCAAATCAAAACAGGTAAGATGGATACTGCGTTTGATGGAAGAAGACAGGCCAACTGTGGCTATGATTACAATATATAGTTTATTTAAAGTGTAACAAGTAACTGTGAATAATGGGACAGCCTATAAAAGCAACAGTTCAAAAGTTTTGAGTCAATAAGACTTCAACAAGGACATGTTAATTTGATCAAAGGTGACAATGAAAATATATACAATATCAGGCTATTTCAAAGAAATTATGGTCATTTGAGCTTTCTGTATACGAAAATCCTGAAAAAAGCAGCACATATTTTCAACAAAAAGAGAACAAAAACAACCCAGCGAGGGAAAACATAAACATAACAAATAAAAACAAACTGGGCGGGCAGGGAAGAGCAGTGCTGGACTGAGGTGAACACAACAGGACAGGACAAGGCGATATACCACGACGAACTGGCACAGAAAAGCAGACAAGAGGAGATTATAAAAAAAAAGAATTAACAAACAAAGGGTGAACTAAATAAAGTAATAATGGGTTAACAGGGAGGCTGGGACTAGACAATATGACACTGATACACAACACAAGGCATGTGCTCACGTAAAACGGGACTAGAACACACAGCCAATGAGAGACCTCATCATGCGTGTTAACATAAAACATGACACTAAAGCATGCGGCGCATGTAAACATGAACCATGTGCTAAACACAACACCAACAGAAGACTGTACGCAAGACACGAGTACTTGTAATAAAAGCACTCAACATGCATTCATATGAGCAACCTGCATGTTTTATCCCAGCGCCAATCGAAACCGAAACCAACTAGACTGAGATGCTGAGAATATAACAGCACGCTGCAGACAGAACAAACATAAACACCAGGAAGAGAGCGCGCATCCCGAGCACACTCAGGTCCCACCCGTCCGCGTCAAGCCGTGACGGTGCTCATACAAAGAAGAATATAATGACAGAAAATGAGTGTTTGACCCACGAATTCTTGAGCTGAGCACAACATACTAGACAAGACAAGACAGTACAAAAGTAATAGTAAAGAAGCACATCTTTGCTATTCGCTTCACTATAACTATTTATTACATCACAAAAATGTAATAAACCAATCACAGGCATTGACAAATACAGTAGAGAAAAGAAACTAAATAATGCTTTATGGTATTCTGGGAGTCTAAAAAGCATTCAGGTACAAAAAAATTATAAATAAATGTAAAATGGCATTGTATAATTTTATTGTGTAAAAGAATTGGAATTGTCTTGTGCATAAAGCTTTAAATAGGATTGAAATGGTTACAGTCACAGGCCTCAAAAACATTTTTTTGTAACTTTATGGTTAAAAATTGTAATGACTCCAAAATCAGGTGTGTTTTTAACAGTAGCTCCTAGTCAATTATAATTCTGATTCAACATTGCAGATCCAGTGATGTGACTATTGCCGATGAGCACATTGTGATATTGTTGCTGAAACAATATATTGTGCAGCCCTAATATCTTTGTTAATGTTAAGTCAAGTTATGTCAAGTTATTTACGTTAAGCTAAAGTTGTTTATGTTAGTTCATGTTAACTCAGAGTCCATTAATGTTAACAAGCGTAACTTTGGATTTTAATAATGCATTAATAAATGTTGAACTATGAATAATAAATGGTTTACATGATTATTTATACTTAATGTTAGTAAATTACATTAACTAACATTAACTAATGAACCGTTATTCTAAAAGGAAATGCAGCTTCTGTGAGCATAAACATAAGACATTATAATTCAACAGAAACTTTTAACAAATAGAGTATCATGTACATTCTCCATAACGAACAGATATGGCCATCCTTTGTCCATTAAATATATAGATAATCAACCGAATCTACATGAAATGGAAAGAAATAACATCTTCCTCCTGTCTCTGTCCTCTAATCACCAGCAGTTCTAATAACTTTCATTCCGCTGAATTCTCTGATTTCAATGTCATGGAAACAGAGACGGCAGGATATCTTTAATAAGCAAATCTAGGATGATCATATCAGTTTTCACACGTTCTAATCTGTGACTTTACATAATAAAAGCAGCCGCACACTGCCAGTCTGCCAGATCGCACATGCTGTAAGTTAATTTGATTTCTAGATTCCTTAAAGAGACATTATCTGTAAAGAGCAGAAAGTGAACTCAAGACAAGAGCGTGCTTTTGTACAAGATATAAAATCTTGTTATAAAAATCCTTAAAGGAATCAATGCGCTCTAAACCTGTATGACTTTTTTCTTCAAGAAAACACAAAAGGAGCTGTTAGACAGGATGTTCATTTGCAAACAGCGAACACACAATACAAAATGATACATCAGAAAAATACTAACACAGTGATTCACACAACACACACAATATATACAAAGACGTTTGAAGTTTTGCAAGAGAAATACACTCACCAGCCACTTTATTAGGTACAACTGCTCGTTAAAACAAATTTCTAATCATCCAATTACATGACAGTAACTCAATGCATTTAGGTAAGGTCAACACAATCTGCTGCAGTTCGAACCTAGTATAATAATGAGGAACAAAAGTGATTTAAATGACTTTGAATATGGCATGGTTGTTAGTGCCAGACGGGCTGGTCAGAGTATTTCAGAGACTGCTGATCTATTGGGGTTTTCACGCACAACCATCTCTAGAGCTTACAGAGAATAGTCAGAAAATGAAAGTATTTCCAGTGAGTGGCAGTTCTGTGGGTGCAAATGCCTTGTTGATGAGGTCAGAGGAGAATGACCGAACTGGTTTGAGCTGATAGAAAGGCAACAATAACTGATTTAACCACTTGTTACAACCAAAGTATGCAGAAGAGTATCTCTGAACGCACAACACGTCCAACCTTGAGGCGGATAGGCTACAGCAGCAAAAGACCACACTGTTTACCACTCCTGTCAGTTAAGAACAGAAAACTGAGGCTACAATTGCTACAACAGACTCACCAAAATTGGACAATAGAAGATTGGAAAAAAATGTTGCCTGGTCTGATGAGTCTCGACTTTTGCTGCGACATTCAGATGGTAAGTTCAGAATTGGCCAACCAGAGTATTGTTGCTGACCATGTCCATCCCTTTATGACCACAGTGTACCTATCTTCTGATGGCCACTTCCAGCAGAATTCCACCATGTCATAAAGCACAAATCTTCTCAAACTGGTTTCTTGAACATGACAATGAGTTCGTAATACTCAAATGGCCTCCACAGTCACCAGATCTCAATCCAATAGAGCACTCTTGGGATGTGGTGGAACGGGAGATTCACATCATGGATGTGCAGCCGACAAATCTGC